CAGGAAATAGGCTCAAATAGGACACCGCAAAGTTTTTATTTCCCATGGTAGAAGTCTAAACAAAGGAATCGGACCAGGGGTCTTCGAGCCTGCAGCGTATGATTAGCCAACCTTGCAGTGCCAGCATCCGGCATTGTAATACCCCCAAAGCTAAGCCGACGTTAGGCCAACTCCCGTGGATGAGTTAGTGCCAGGCCATCTGAGATCGAATAGTAATTAAATCGATTGAATAGACTACTCATGTAAACAATGTGCATATTCTTTTTTGAAAGGCCTACTGAAAGAACTCTAGAGTTAAGCATGTTTGGTCTAGAGTAATTTGAGGATGGGTGTGAGTGAGGACAAACGCGCTGGAAGGACTTGTGCTGACTTGTAGGGTCAGTTTAGAATCTCGACACATCCGACTTTGCGTGTCTTGTGGGCAGGGGTGTTATAGTTGGTATCAGAGCCGACCTGCGATAGCCCGCAGTCATTGACCAGACTAGTGACGGGCCTAGCAGTTGACGATCCTTGGCGTGCAACATGGACGTTGTATTCTTAAGTGGGGGGGATGTAATACCCTCGAATGAGGCCGATGCTAGGCCAACTCCCGTGAATGAGCCGGTGCAAGGCCATCCGAGATTAAATAGTAACTAAATTGATTGAATAGACTACTCATGTCAACAATATGCACATTCTTTTTTGAAAGCCCTACTGAAAGAACTCTAAAGTTTGCGTGCTTGTTCTAGAGTAGTAATTGAGTATCGGTGGCCCATTGGGAAGTCTCTCATGGTGCGCGTGAGTGAGGACAGAAGCATTCTGAAAGAAATCGTGTTGACCTGTGAGGCCAGTCTACAATCCCGACACACCCAACTTTGCATGGCTTATGGGTTGGGGTGTTACAGTTGGTATCAGAGCCGACCTGCGACAACTCGCAGTTGTTGACCTGACTGGTGACAGGTCTAGCAGTTGACGATCCTTGGGGTGCAACTTGGACATTGCATTCTTAAGTGGGGGAGGATGTAATACCCCCAAAGTTGGGCCGGTGCTAGGCTAACTCCCGTGGATGAGCCGGTTCCAGGCCAAACGAGATTGAATAGTAATTAAATGGATTTAATAGACTACTCATGTCAACAATGTGCACATTCCTTTTCGGAAGTCCTACTGAAAGAACTCTAGAGTTAAGTGTGTTTGCTTTAGAGTAATTTGAGAATGGATGACCCCTTGGGAAGTCTCCCAGAGTGAGCGTGAGTGAGGACAAAAGTGCGCTGAAAGGACTCGCGTTAACCTGTGGGACCAGTCTACAATTCTGACATGCTTGGTTTTGCATGGCTTGTGGATTGGGATATCACAAGCACACTCGGTGAATAAGTGACCATCTCAGTAATAGACAAAAGTCAATGAAACTGTAAGCTCCCAAGCAGTGGGAGGGGATAGGGACCTGACCGCGTGCCTATTGAAGAATGAGCCGGCCACTCATAGGTAGTGGCTTGGTTAAGGGAACCCACTAGAGCCGTAAAGAAAACGAGTCTTCATAGGACAATTGTCACTGCTTATAGACCCGAACTTGGGTGATCTATCTGTGACTAGAATGAAGCTTGGGTGAAACTAAGTGGAGGTCCGAACCGACTGATGCTAAAGAATCAGCGGATGAGTTGTGGTTAGGGGTGAAATGTCGCTAAAAGACTAGTTGACGTGACATAAAATGATAGTGATGTCTTCATCTCAATTGCTGAAGTGGAAGTAGTAAGTTTAAGTTGGATATGAAGAAGGTAGAAGTGGTGTAAGTATGAAAGAGCAGAATTACTTATATCTATATGAACAAACCCATTCCTTATAGATTCCTTGTCAATTCTTTTGTTTGATTGGTTGGACCTATTTTTTGTCTGATTTTTCATTAGCCGTCGCTGCCAATCCTAATCATTTCCCAAGGACTAGCAAAATCGAAAGAGCTTATTTGGTCATCTCAATGGGTTCAGAAACAATATCATCATAAAGAGACAATTAGGGCTAAGAATTATCAGTGAACGTAAACTCTAAGGATGGAATGCCATATAAAAAGAACTTTCTGCAGCTAGAAATCCTTGAAAAGAGGTAGCAACATTTCAGTCACCGGGAGGAAGAAGAGATGCTAGGAGTTGAACCTAAATTGCATATTAATGAAAAAGAGAGTCAGCACAATTAGTAGCTTCAGTGTAATTTAGCATTCCCCTACCGGTTAGCCGGAGAATGGGCTATTTTCCCTCCATTCTTCTATCGGGTGGGCTCACACCCTGGGTGGTGCGGCTGGGCTCTGAAGAGCAGTTCCTCTCAGATAAAAAAGGAAGTCGCGGATGGCAGGCCCAGCTCACAAGGGCCATGCGGACTTGATGTCATCCCCCATTCCTCTAGTATATCACTGGCAGCCCTTCATCAGTGCGGCATGCACCTTTTTTTTTACATCAGCTGGTGTTACAATAATACGTAAATGATTTTTTTCTGGTACAACCATTCTATCCCACCTTATTGACCGCAACTTATGTATTTATTATTGTCTTCGGGCAGGGGAGGAAGTGAACCAAACCACTCCCCCCCATTGGACCTATCTTATTCTAGGTTGATCTAGTCTCTTTCCAACATGGTAAATGAGCGGATTATGCTCGTCGGCCTCCGTCGAGATAGAGGCCTCCATGTGCGGCATATTCTTCAATACTGGCGGTGGTTGTTCACTGATGTTTGAATCATCCTTGGATTCTTGATTCTTATTGAAATTCACATTCAAATTATTAATTAACATATTTACAATCGTTTTAGCGCAGCGTAGCGCACACAGATTGTACTATATATTGTCAATATTAATAAATAATACTTCATTCGTCTTAAAAAATATAAAAATATATTCAAAATTTTTGGGTATGGATTTTAATGTGTTGGATTTTAATTGATATTTTTTATTACTGTCTTTTTTAGTAAGAAAGATATATAAAAAAAAAATGCATTACCTCCATCCACCATTAATTTTCTCATTTGCAGTTGGCGTAATTATTTTTAACATTAAAAATATTATTATATTTGTATAATTTTTTTTACAAATATCATTATATTAGTATTATAAGACACTAATAGAAGATTTTTGTTATTTTCTCTTAATTTGTACTACAATTCGATATAATTATTAATATTTTAAGATTAACATAAAAAAATGAAAAATAATGAACGGAGGAAGAGAGTATAATTTTTTATTAAAGAAGAAACTACAAACAATTTTAAAATTTGTATAATTATTAATAAATAAGAAAATAGGAACATTTTTAAGGGATAGATAAAAATTTTAAAAAAAAAAACTAAAGATATTTTTAGAAGACAAATAAAGTACATTTTACAATTTAATTAGCAAGGCTAAAGGCACAGAAATGCAATATGATTCACCTCTCGTCTCCTCCAAATCCAACACAACTTCGTAACCGAACAATCCTATTTCCAATAAAATATCTTATCAAATATGTTTTTTTACTTATATACATTTCCTAAATAATTCAAAATACTTTTTGAAATATATTTTCTTCTGTCCAATCTTCTATATTAAGCAACTGCAACAATTATTTCAATTAAAAAAAAAAACCGAAAAAAAGATATGAAGCAAGTAAAATATATAGAATAAATTGCATAATACACCCTCCATAATTATGAAATTTGCATAATATATCATATATTTATGTATGGCATAAAACTCTCTTGTATTTAGTATACAATATGTATAATATACTTGTTTTTTTATCAAAAAGTAGTAAGAAATAAAAATCACACACTTATTATGGAGATGATATGTATTAAATAGAAATAAATATTGTAAGAATTTTTGTAAAAAATTTTAGTAATAAAAAGAAATAAATAAATAAGGTTGATAGTTTACTTCTCAAATTTTATTTAAGGAAAAAATTATTTTTAGTCTCAGTATAACCAAAATTCATCAATTTTGGTCCCAATATAATCAAAACTCACATTTTTTGTCCCAATATAACCAAAACTTCATCATTTTTGGTCCTAATATAAAATTTTTATCAATTTTAGTCTCAATATAACCAAAACTCATCATTTTTTGTTCCAATATAATCAAACCTTATCTTTTTTTGTCCCACCGTCAACAAACCGACGGAAAATATAGAAATTGCACAATCTTGCAAGTTCACGTCAGCATTTTCCGTCGGTTTGTTAACAGTAGGACCAAAAAAGAGAAGGTTTGATTATATTGGGACAAATAATGATAAGTTTTGATTATATTTGGACTAAAATTGATAAAAAATTTATATTTGGACCAAGAATGATGAGTTTTTGGTTATATTGGGACAAAAAAATTATGAATTTTGGTTATATTGGGACCAAAAATAATTTTTTTCCCTTTTATTTAATAAATTAGATGATATTCATATTATAAATTTCTAAGAATTATAACTTATAGTACAGATAGATCTTATATTATATTGCACTCCCTCCGTCCCATATATTTTGGGACTATTACTGTAAATATGAGAATTTAGTTAAAGTATAATTATCAAGTAATTAAAAAGTGTATCACTAAAAATCATTATTATTTTCTAGAAATAATTAAAGATTTAAGATAACTAAATAGTTTAATTAAAATTTCAAATTTTAAAATTATATAGAATGAACGAAAATAAAAAATAGGGACAAATTATGTGCAACAGAGAGAATATAAAAATAAAAACGGACCATTTTAATATAACAATTTATTCATTAAAAAAAAAAAAAAAAAATTAAAAAAAAAAAAAGGAAAACTAAAAAAAAACTAAAAAACTAAAAAAAGATATTTGATGTTGACATTTGTTTGTAATTCTTGTCTAAAAATTTAAGACATCTGTTTGTCGTCAAATGTAATTTACATAATAGATCTGCAATTTTTAATTATTGTTATTTTTCTAACAATATATAATATATATATATATATTATACAAATTTTATACATAATAGCACAAAAGAATTTCATATGATAAATAAAATACACATTCTATACATTTTTCATAAAACACAGGTGGGCAATATAATTTACACAAAGTAATATAATTCAAGTGAAAGCAAAAAAAAAAAATAGGCTTTTACACTGCAACAAACTATAACACTGTTTTGTGAAATACGAAGGGAATTTACAAACAACTCAAACTCCTCCTAAAAAAAATGTTTGAGCTGTTTCCTCTAATTACTTGTCTGTCATTTCTCCCTTAAATAGAAATTCACTACTAGTCTTCTTAGAAAAATACTACATGGAGATGGAGTCACTGCTGCTGCTACTACTACTACTACTACTACACCTTACAGCTTTCATTTGGTCAGTCTGGCCTGGTCTGGTCTCTGATACAGCCGGGTGGCACTTAATAAATGGTGTGCTACCTGTGGTGGTATAGAGTGGACCCGAATAAGTAGCCAGATATGTCATCTGCGCTCGAGTCCTTGGTGCTGTCTGTGCTGCACGAACCAGTGTCAGATGTGCTGAAAATGGAGGACGTATCGCTGGACCAGTCAATGAGAGGGTTGTGTAGCCGTTGCTGTTGCCGTAGCCTGCCATATGCCTGGTGTCCCCAATCCAAGGAATGCATAGTCATATAGTCCGGAGGTGTTCGCTTAGTAGAGGTAGAGGTGGGCTTGGCCTTTGAGGCTTTCTTTTTATCACTGGCGCTTGATGAGATGGCTTCCATGTTCCGTTTGGGTTTCACATCCAGATCCATCATCGAATGGTTTGCTACCAATGAAGGGATTCGGGGTGTGTGCCTGGACAAATGTGATGTGTTGTTAGAGACATGTTGGAAGAAAATGTATAATTTTCCTAGTAATAAGTAGGATTACCTTGCGTAGAAGAGAATGTATGCTTCTGCTGATAGCACAGTCTCTCGGTCCACACGGTTTACCTACACCAAAAAGATTCGCACTAGAGTCTCTATCATGTAATTCAGTAAAGTATAAAATTAATGAAGAAGCCTAAGCATATGTTAGCTGATCACAAAGAGCTTTATTATCGAACTGGAACTGAGCCATATCGTATGAAATGAGCATGAGTAAGATTAGCCACTATAGAACACGAGTAATACCAAGTTAATAACACTATTAAACATCAGCAAAAATCGAGCATGTTCAACAATTTTATAGTTGTCTTCACTTTATTTAACTGATCAAAAAAGCTGAATTCAAGAACAACTAGCTCTATATACAGCTCTACTCATAAACAAAACAAAGCATCCAACCAAATGGAAGAAACTGAACTCACAAGCCTAGTTAATGGACTATCATAATATAATGGTGAAACTAGAATCATAATGTCAAAAAGTGAGAAAAATAACATACTCTGCTGTCATCGATTTGAAACCATTCTCCATGTATATCTTTGACATAACAGATGTAGTGACCGCTGTAAGCAGCATTCATCATGTTCAAGTGAACAACCACTGCATAGAGTTGATATGTTGAGTATTTGTCGGCCCGTCCACTCATATATGGCTCAAGGTCTAATATCTCTGGAAAATGAATTACTTTGTTCAGCTTTTCTAAGTTTCCAGACTGCAAAACAAAAAAGGCAAAACGTAAGTTAGAGATCATTAATGGCATTGCAAGTACTCCTCGCTAGTAAATAAAGATTATTACCCTGAACCGCTTCAAAACAATCGTGAGAATGTTAGGGGCCTCAAGTATGGTCAGTTTCTTCCTAGCTTTCTCATAAGACTTGCATCTGCAATGAAAATGCCCGGATCAATAGATTGCATAAAAATCTCAAACATACATACATTAATAGGCTATGATACAATAAACTCCCAATACTCTCTCACCTTAAGTTCACTTCTATGGATGAAAAATATTGGTTTGGACTACAAATATTCACATATTATCTACTCCATTGATTGAGTGTGTGTTTATTTTGTAGGTTATATATTATTTTGATAGATATTATATAATCATAAGATAAATAATTTAACGAGAACTTTAATGAATTATTAGATAGAATTATTGTTTTTACCTAATAACCTTAATTCATATGATATAACTATTTTTAGATTAGTTGATGATGAAAGGTATAATAGCCTTTTAACATAACAATAACTTAAGATATTTAGTAATACCTATTTAGTATGAACTAGTAATCTTTAATTTAAGTATTATAATTAAGGGCTTTAATCACTTAAAGTAAACATATGATTAAGTTGGTAAAATAATAGTATCCAACTTTAATCTCTGAGTAAACACACCCTGAAATAGGATAAGTAAACTCATGGTTTATGTCATTAATAGGAGATTTCTATCCGATTACAGGATATTATCCATTAAAAAGAACAATTTTATTATATTGGATAAAGTAATTTATTTAACCGAATTCCAAAACGTAAACGCAGTCCAGATTGGCAAATGGCATTTACATCGGATGATAATAGGGCATGTAGCAATCATCAAAAGTTGAAAACGCCTGGACTAACCTGCTGCACTTATACTTATCATCTCCACCAAGTGTTTCCGATATCGTGAACCGTGCAAGAGCCTCTTCAAGAGTATAAATATCTCCATCGATCTCCACAGTAAGATCCATCATTCTTTCACAATGATCGGATCTACTTGAACACTTCATGCACTTAATCTGGACCATGAAACAAAAGTTAGCAAAAACAGTAACTCAAACATCAACTGCAGATAATAAACTTAAAGCGCTTAAGTAAATGAACATGAAGACAGACCTTGGATCGAAGATAACCCCCAAATGTCAGACCCATGAGGGTCAAGTTTTCACCCAATGAACCAGAAACACCAACTTCTTCAAGCCATATACATTGCATTGTATCCACAATGTTTCTGATAGAACATAACCATAACAGCTGTTACCATATTCAGATACATTTGCACCAAACCAAAATTCAACTTTCCAAGAACTTACCTCAAGAAGTCGTGTGCATCTTCTTCTCTTCCATGACTTAGATGGCTTCCAATCCTTTGTATTTGGGATAATATCCCAGCAGGGGACAAAGGAGACTTCACTTCTTGTCCCTTCTGAATCAAACGCTCAAACTCACAGATAAGGCACCAACCCTTCCTCTGGCCTAACCATTTTTAAAGAAAGGAAGCATAAATATAAATGAAGACATGCACAATGTGATGCTTATCAAAAAAATAATGAGGAAATTACATGTTTTAGAATGTAACCCTTGAAGAAGATAAGAAGTGATTGGCCGAGTAAAAGTAAGGCACTGCAGCACGGCATTTGCATAACAACTGTAGAATTAAAAAGAAAAGTATCACAATACTATAATCAGATTATGTGGTAACTATACTTCCATGGAAAACCTTAAATAGGCCTCAAAAGCCTTATGTTAACTTGAAGCTTTCAGTTAAACCATTGGCATTGTAGATAAGCAACCTTGGCAATGAAAATCAGCTACAAGTAATCATAAAGCTTTGTTCTTTCATCAGTGGAAAAGTATCATAATAATATTATCAGATTATGTTGTAAAATATAATTTCATTGTACAGCAAGAACCTATTTACCACTTCAATGGCCCTGACATTTGAAAAACAACTTATGTAGCAAAAAGGAAAACAGCTCATTATCCACAAAGCTATCATATGTCACAGATATCATAGAAAGCAATGCAATTTCAAAATGAGAACATACCTATTTCCACTGTTGACAAGGCCAAAGGGGTAAAGTTCCGAAGCATGATGAGAGTACAATTGTGCAAAAATTTTGGGAGGAAATATTATCTGTTAAAGGAAAACATGACTACAAGATCATCAATCTAACCTTGGAAAATTAAAATTAGAAGTTATTAAATGATGAATACAGATTGAGAAACAACCTTGTGGTTATAATTTCCCATAGATTCCTCCCCCATGTCAAATATGTAGGACTTTGACTGTTTTGATACTCTAAAATGTTGTACAAATTTCTTTACTGATGATCTAAGGCCTTTGCAGGGAGGTTGTGGCACATGTTCAATTTCTGACAGTGAGTTGTGCAAGCTCCCATTTTTCATATATAAATTTTGATAATTTCCTGAACTCCGAACAGACATGGACCTTGTTTCCTTACCACTGCAAATTTGGGCTTCATTTTTCCAATATACATCTGATGACACACTTAAAGATTGTGAGAACTGTGAATTTCTCAATTCAATATTAGACACTTGATTGTGATTCCCTTGTCTATCAAAATCCATGAATTTCTTTGCTTTATGGCTAGATGTCTTTGATCGATTTCTTAGATTCTCCACAGAAGATGAGCTCTTATGGGAACTGGAGGAATGAGAACCCCTCAACTCACTTGTACTTGTAGCAAGCTTTTCTAGCTGAACAGTTTCATTGCCAGCTTTTGGATCTTTAAAGTTTGTTGGCTGGAACCCTTTGACAGGTTTAGCAGCTGGCATCCCTTTCAAGTTATTAGCCTGAAATGTATTTGCTTCATAGATAGTAGAACGGAAGGGAACCTGGCTTCGTACATCTGCCTCATCAGAATCAGAGGTTGTTTGCAATGGATGAGAGTCAGAAAACATTTTATCTGGCCTAACAGGTGTTCCTGGCCCAAGATCCTCACTGACTGAAGTGTCATGTGATGTTTCACTTTGTTCAGGAGAAGATGAAAAGCAAGGTAAAGAGCAACTAGAAGATCCAGAATCAACTTCACAGGGAGGTTCAGAAGAAATTTTAGGTTCATCATGCAAATCCTTCTTCACTTGATTATCCCAAGCTGTTTCATCCACACTATAGCTTTCCTTGCTATCATTAATTGGAGTGGATCGTTGGCAGTCATCCTTATGACCTTGTCTCCAATGAATTATTTGACACTTACCCGAACTACAAAGAATCAAGCAAATGTAAACTGTGAAAAGCAGAGAACCCGAAGAAGAAGTAAACAGGTTTCTTAACAAAGAAAATACACACTTCACATAGACCCAAAACATCCTCTAGCTATTTCAAGCATATCATGGTTGTTGGCACTCTCTATTGCAATTTAAAAGATAAAAGTCTTTTATGATGCAAGCTGTGCCTAAAACTAGTTAAAGCGTAGATCTCAGAGCCTCTAAGTTGGTGTGCTATGCTAGCTGAATAGGTGTATTAGTTCATTAAACTTTCAGCATATTTTCCTTAGGCTTGCCACTCAAGTTAAAATCAGCAGGAAATAGCATATCCTTATATATTATGCAACTCAACAATTGCAGTTTGACATCCAAAGGGAACTCAAATATTGAGTAGATAATGTCATCCTCCATTCCTTTTTATTTGCCTCAGATAAAGGAGTTCTTTCTCATATAAAACTTAACTTGGAACAAACCAAAAAGCAATAAAATTTAAATTAGCCGTTTAAATTTCCAAACCACCCACAGACGCTTCATAACCTAAACTTCATGCGAAGCCTCGGCCTTTACCGATTCAAAAATTAGATTATTGAAATCATATCCCTAAAGTTTGCAATCAGAAATATGAATAACTTCAAATTAACAACTTAATCCTCAATATCATACGAACGAATAAGAAAGGAACTACCTTTACAAAATTTAAGCAAAAATTAGCCTAAACCAATATTCAAAAAAAAAATGCAATGCGCTCACCAGTATCTAACAGCTTTGCACTGAGAACACCTGGTAGTGGTGGGGCAATAACAAACAGCACAACAGTAACGGTTTTCAAGCTGAATTGGCGGCGGCGGCGGCGGGGGCGTGGGAGGTGGAGGAGACGGAGGAGAAGAAGTATTGTATTCCTCGACCGATTGCAGCTTCTCAATTTCCGCCTCTTCTTCAGAAACCCTAGCCACGAGCCTCAGAATCTCCTCCTTCTGGGCCAACGCATTCCTCCAGTTGTACCGGACCACAACGCCAAAAAGCAACAAAATCGCGACAATTACTAGCATTGATTATACGTGTCTCTGACACCAAATTAACCGGCGCCGAGGATTAACACGGAACTGAAGAGAAACCCTAGCAACCGGATTTTCTTGCAATACATAGAGATTGACCTCGCACTTGCACTTGCACTTGCAGATGGCGGCACCGGAGGTCGGCTGCGAAGGTAGTGGAGCAGTCAAATTGGAAGGAATCAGGGGAAATCGAATTGACGCGTGACGACTGAGGAGAGAAAGAATTGATGAGTGGGATTTTCAGAAATGACCCGACTTACCAAAGGAACCATCAGACCCGTTTGTTTCATATTTGCTACAAATTTTAACCAATCACCACCTCCACCTTGCGTATCTTCATTCCAATTTAAATATCTCTCTCTCTCTCTATCTCTCTCGTCAATATTTTTCAATTATTCATAAATATTATTAAAAAATAAAAATATACACACATTAATATAATAAAGATATATATTCATTCAAATAAACTATTCAATCCAACATATTAATTTTTTACATTATCAATGCAATTCTTTATTCCACACACAAAATCAATTTATCTTAAAAACGTGAATCTATAGTATCTTTTTTAATAGTATCTCTTATTTTAATTGATTTTTTTAAAAATTTTTCTATATTAGATAAAATTTATTCCATCAAAAAATATTTTACAAATATAAATAAATTTAATTAATTATATAACACCAATTAAAAGTTTTAAATTTTTATTTTTTAAAAAAAATAAATATTTTTATCTATATTTAAAATTAATTTTAATTATAAATAAATAAACTTATTTTTTTTTTATTTGTAATGAAATTTTATTTTTACTATATGATATTCATATTATTTAAATATATATTCTACAATTTCTTAATTATATATATCAAATTTATTTTAAAAATACTAATATTAATAATCACATAAAAATAATAAAATAATATAATAGCTCACTGTTATTAACTAATTAAACATCATTACCTCAAATATCGTATCAACCACAAAAATATGAAAGAGCTATTTCCGGTGAGTCTAAGAATTAATGTTTCGAAGCACAATGAATACTACATTCCATATGGTAATGGATTTAAGTTAATAGAAAACGACGAAGAATTCCAACAAATAGATTACGAATCTCTAATTTTGTAAAAAAATTGGATATTTACATAAAGTACTTGAGCAAAAGAGGATAATCTAATCCTATGCAATTACTGATAAGATAAGTGAGATCTTCATAAAAATTGACAAATATAAATTGTACGAGTAAATGCATTGCATTCTAATCATTCTCAGTCTTGTATTCATTCTTTTAATGTGGGAAATATTAAGATTTCTTGATTGAGTGAAAATTTTTCTCATAAGTTCAAATGTATTCTAATAAAATAAGACAACCACGTTCCGCAAAGATGGTCTGGTGGTATGGAGATAAACTTGTGATCGTGAAGTTATAGGTCCAATGCGTGTGATTTGTCTTGCTGGGCCTAGTTGCAGAGTATTAAGTTCGACCACAACTTAAGTATTGTCTAAGAGTTCGGTATAATTCTATCTACAAAGATTAACGTCTAAATATCTCATGTAATATAAGTATATATCACAATATATATCAAAACAACGGTTGTGTTTTAGCAAGATAAGATAACAACTCATTTTATTTTATTTTATTTTTACATCCACATAAGAATATGATCAAAATTGTTTTAAAAAATTTAATTGGATCAATTTTGACGATTTTTCTTATATGAGACTAAAATTAATTTATTTGATTCTCAATAATACCGATTTTTTTTTCCCTCAAAATTCATTTTTTTTTCCTAAATAATAAGTTTTTGTTAATTTTTATTAAAAAAGAAAATCAATTATTCCTTCCTGACCAAACAAATATGGAGCTTAAACTTGTCTTCATCGCCGTCCGAACAAATCTTTGGATTAAGTCCGGCTTATGGTTCCAAACTGAAGCACTTCATCTCCATGCAGGCGCTGCCCAATTCCTTTCCGACACTCCGTCTGCAATTCGGCCATCGCTGCCGCCGCTTCATTTTCCTTTCTCTCCGTCCCAAAACCACCGGATTGCCGATGATAACCACTTCTTCGGCCGCCTCCGATTCCAACCGTACTTCCAGTGCCGGCGCATTCACGACGCTCAAGGAGAGAGTCATCTTTGAAAAAGAAATTAAGAAGAGCAAATTCATTGCTATCGCTAGCCCTGTTTTGGACGAACGCACTGCTTTGTCCTTCCTTTCCGAGGTGAATCCCAACTCCCCAGTAATTTTTTTTTTCTTTTTCTTTTCTTTTTAATTTCTAGTTTTCGGTTTATAGGTTCGCCAGCCGCGTGCCACGCACAATTGTTGGGCTTATAAGGTATTTACCTAAGATCTTGTATCAGAACAATGCTTTCATTGCTAAATTCGGTTTTCTTTGACTGAATTGGGGCTTTTGGGAATATTTTTAATCTGTGTGATATAAGCTTGTGCACTTGATGATATTTCTGAAATATGTATTGAAGAGTTTATTATCCTTTTTCTTTCTTGGAGATTCAAATATGAAGTTTTAAATTGATTTCAAATCTTTCAGCTCTTTAGATTCTGTCTTGAGCTTCTCTGTAGTGATGGGTTATTTTTTGGATTAAACTTAGTATCATCGTTACAGTAGGATGGAAAATTGTTGTGGAGATTGATTAGTTAAGTCAGTATTTCCTTTTTATTCATGTCCTCTATTTTAGATTGGAGATCAATTTCGAAGTAATGATGATGGTGAACCATCTGGCACAGCAGGCAAACCTATACACTCTGCAATTGAATCATCCGGGATTGATAGAGTTATGGTGGTTGTTATCAGGTAGTATTAAGTTTGCTCTAAGTTTGGAATATATATATATATATATATTATATATTATATGTATGTGTATATATTTATATATGCCTGGTTCATATGTTTTGACAGGCACTTACATGAAGTGTCCTTGTTTAACAGCTGATGATCTGTTTCACTGAGTGCAAATTTTGTCACTGATTCATCAATCAAATTCAAATATAGTCAATATTTTGAATCATTAAATCCTTTATCTGGTTGGAAAATCATTGATTTAGATTACATTGACCAAAATATGGTTCAGAGTCTGGTATGAATTGGTAATACTGTTCAACTCCTGTTTGTTAATTCTGCGAAGTTTACTGATATCTTTATAGGATGACTGTTTATAAAAGACTCACGCAGGTTTCTATCCACTAAATTGCCAAAGTCAATCCAAATAATTATTCAAGAAAGTACATAGAGAATTTTGAGAACCAGTCGGGAAATTCTGTTCAATTTCAAATTAGAAACATACTAGTTTGAATAGGATTATGGTCAGTTTTATAAAATCAAATAGCCAAAATGTTACCAAATACTTCTTCCTTGAATCACTGAATTCAAGTTGGAGTTGGAAGTTGAAGCTCACAACCCCCCTTTTGACTAAAGGTCTAATGTTTTTCTTTTTTTTTTGTAGGTATTTTGGTGGGATCAAACTTGGCACCGGAGGATTAGTTAGAGCTTATGGAGGGGTGGCTGCAGAATGCCTGAGAAATGCACCAACTTGTCTTGTAAAATCCAAAGTAATTACTTGCTTGTATCATTCCTTGCTCCTCGCCTTCTGCACTTGAATTTCCTTAAATTTGTTGAGGTTTTGGCCGTGCTTGCAGTTTTTGTTGGTCATTTACGTTTGATGGAAGGTCCCTTAATGGGCTGCTTTCTATGGATGTAGGTTCCTATGGGATTGGAGGTGCCTTTTGATATTTTGGGAGTTGTGTACCATCGAGTAAGATCTAATCCAACAAAGCTAGCAAACCAGTGTCTATCATTTTCCCTTTAAAATATATATATATATATATGCTTATCAGATGATTTTTATTTTAGCATTTCGAATTAGTATTATTGCTTTGAATATTGCAAGTAAATATGAAAGCATAAATGGTCATCTCCAGCTATGAAAGCTACTTTGTTCCTTTAATTAAATTGACATAATATTATTTTTAAGTCTTCCTAAACTTTGGCACCAACTACCCTTTTCTTGTCTATGGTGTTATTATAGTTTCTTAAATGTCATGTTTCAAGTATCTATTTTTGGTTCTAACATTTTAGCGAGATAGATGGCTTCGTTTAGAAAAATCGAATGTTGACAGTGTGTGCATGATTGATACCTGCCTGATTTGCAGCTTCAGTGTTTTGAAGTGGAGGACATACATCAGGATTATGAGACTGGAAAAGATAATGTTGTAATGGTGACTTTTAAGGTGGACTTGGACCGGGCAGAAAGTTTGGAAGATGCTTTAAAGGCGAGTTGCAGCCGTGATATTGTGTTTTACAAATAAAAATGATGAAGTGCATCAGCATGCCTTGATCTGATCTGATCTAACCTTATCTGAGGATGGATATTGATGATTCTTTGTTACTCAGTCACTCACTCATTGAGGCAGCCTCAGTTGTAGGTATGCTGTAAAGTTCAGTGTTTCTTCAATCCATCTATTCCATGTCTGTTAAAAAGTATTTTGAATTATTTTAGGAATGAATAATCATAATTTGAATAAAATTTAGGCAGTGGATGTTGCCAAATAGATATACTTATTAGCAGATGAGATCCTCGGTGCCGCTTGACTTGTGTCCCTTTGTCTCCTCCAATAGATGTGTGACACGTGTCCAAGGTTATTTTATTTTATTTTGGTAAAATTGTTCATAATTCTCATGTGGTTTCAAAATTCAGCGTATAACACCCCCTTATACTTTAAAAACATTGCATGAAACTCCACCATAATGAAAATTCTCTTGTATTATGAGAAGATGATTTCTTATCGGTATGTTTTGCATGATGGGGAGTTTCATGCAATATTTTGAAAGTATAAAGGCGTGCCATGAAATTCTATAAAAGAAAATGAGAATTTACGCTGAGTTTTAAAATTACAGTAGGTTTCATGCAATATTTTTTAAAGTATAAGGGGATACCATGTAATTTTTAATTTACGCTGAATTTCGAAATCACAAAGGAGTCATGGCTTTTAATTTTTTCTTTTTATAATACAAAATAAAGTGAAACTTTGCAATTTAGACCACAATTTATAAAATTCACGATTGTATTTTAATTCACCATCTTAAATTCACGTGGCCATGATTCTGCTGATGTACTTCTAAATTCTAATGCTCCTATATATCTATCTGTATATATATATATATATGTATGTGTGTGTGTGTGTCTTCTTCTTGTGAGATAACATCCAATCCATTAGTCTGTTTGGATTTTCAGTAGTTGGCGTTTTTTTTTTTTTTTTTTCTTTTAGTTAAAACAGCTGAGCTTCTTCTTTGTTTAGTTCAAGTCTGTATGCTTCTATATAATATTTTTCTCATCTCTAACTAAAATCAATTTTTCAATATTCATTTTTTGGTTTCTATCTGCCTTGCTTCTCTCTCTTTTTTTATTTTTTTCATCACAATTGTATTATATTTTTGTATCTATTATACTCCCTCGGTCGCATTTCAAATAGATCTTTATTTTATTAGATCTTTATTTTATTAATTAGTGAAAGTGTGTAAGAAATTTGAATATTTTTGTCTTGTATGTGTAATAGTATATTTATAATTTAAATAAAAGTTACGAGTATTTTGGTATTAGTATATGATTACTTTTACTGATAAAAGAAATGCATGCTTTTAAGTGAACGGACAAAACTTTTTAGTTAATTTTTTTACTTTAACACATACATATTTGATGTAATATTTTAAAGGGAAAATGCTAAATTATTTGAAAATAGGAACCAACCCACAACCAAAGACAGGTCTGTTCCTTGTGTTTTTTTATCAAATAAAATTCCTCTCATAAAATATTAAATTAAATTATTATTCAAACCAAATCTGAAAAAAATGAAAACCATTGTCATGAATTATTATGGGAAAAATGGTAGAAATCTTCTAATACGACTGGGTTGAAGAGTCTTAAGATAAGTCTTTTTTTTAACCGATGAGCCATTACATAATCAAGGCAAAAACACGCGACACCAATGAATTTTTATTTTTTATTTTAATTAATTGTGTTATAAATAATTGTAAAGAGTGTTTGTTTTGTGAGATAATTTAAATGAGTAACTTTTTATTTGAGATATGGATAATGGTATAGAAAATATAAAAATAATAAATATATGTAATATATTAATATTTTTGAAAAATATATGTTTATTAATTTGTTAAGAGAACACATCCATAGTGTTTTATTTAAAATGTAAAATTACAACATTATCCAAAAAATTTGAAGATCAATTTCGATTTAGCCAATTAAATGCCTAATTTAAGGGGTTGTTGTGTAACAAGCCCACGTCCACAAACTTGTTGCAAATGTCTCTTCTATTGCGAAACCTCCTGGCCGCAAAGCTTATCCATGGGATGTTTTTTCTTTGGTGGAATGGAAGGATTATTTAAAATTTAAATTTTAAAATATCATCAATACTCAAATATTTAAAATTCAATCTAATTAAAATAATAATTTATATTTTGAAATATAAATATACAAAATAATATTATATTATTATTATATTTTAATAAATCAAGTCTTATAATATATTTTATTTTTAGGTTTATATATTGTGCAATCAGTAAAAAAGATTTCTGAATCCAATACTGAAAATTAAAATTCAATCCAATTAAAATAATCAATTTACAATTAAAAAATATAAATATACAAAAATAATAGTATCCTATTAGATTCTTTTAAATAAATCAAGTATTTTAATTATTTTATTTTTAAATTTATATATTGTAATACAACCATTAAAAAATTAACTATATCATCAAGTTGTGCATAATAATAATAATAATAATAATAATAATAATACACATTACAAGAAGGGGTGTGTTTGTTTGGAGATATAGATTTTAAATTGAAATTTGAATAATAAAAATTTTGAATTTGAATAGTTGTATGAAGTGATATAAACAGGTGGTGTTGATGTGATGTTTTGAATGTAAAATTAATTTTTAATATAATATAAAAAATAAAAAATAAGCGTTTGATTTGATGTTTTGAAATGAAAAAATAGAATGAATAATAAATTTAAAATCCAATTCTCCAAACAAACGCACCCAAGAGGTATATCTATGCCTGCAGTTTTGGTGTGAGAATCTTGTACCCAAATGATTATAGTAGAAAAAAACAAGGCAATGGCATGCTCATAAGAGAAAAGAGTCCAACTTATTTTCTTAAGCCATAAATAGACTGATTAAAAATATTATAGGGTAAATATAACTATTAGGGTTATCAATCAGATTAAGTTTTATATTAAATGATTTAAATCTATTTAGTAAATGAGCATCTCCTATGCCCAGATGGTAATTTATTAACCTGACGATGAGAGATATAAAGTAGGATTGTAATCTCAGATATGCAACAACCATTAATTTTCATATTTCATCGTGGAAGTAACAGCAGAAGCCATATCTGTTTTTTCAGAAGGATTGTGCCATAGGTTTAGAGAACATAAACTCTCAATTATTTCAACATTTCAACACGACAGATCATAGGCTTCCTTTTCAATTCATTCCAACAACACATCCATCACTCACTCTTTCCAGTTGAGTTAAGTTCAATCTCAAATATCATTCACATTATACATATTAGCTGTCAACTCAAGCTTAATAAAACTCGACTCCATTTAGTAGACCACATCCCACCCACACCCAATATAAAATTAGTTATACATATAACTCAGTTTTCTATATATAGTTCTATACAAAACTAATAGATCTACATCGACTCATTGAGTTAGTTGTAGGGACACATATTATCTGGTTCTAAGTAAGATATATCGATAGCACTTCAGCTGATTTGCTTGCCCGCACCCCATCCAAGCATCAACAAACATTTTGATTTTAGCTATACAATTATGACTATTCTGGAGCAATCAACATGTGATGAAGGATCGATCCGTTCCCGTGTTATTTGTTTTAAAAGCTTGTTACTTACAAAACAAATTCCACAGTGTTCTTGAAACTAAGTTCCAGAAATAAGCATAAATCAAATTAGCAGAGTTACTAAAGGCGAAATGATTAAAATCAAGGGACTCAGAGGTGTAGTGAGGACAATATTGTCCCAAAATGGTTCACAAGTAGAATACCAACTAACGGATAAAGAGCATCGACAGCTGAGATAGCAACAGTAAAGAAATAATGCTGGATATTGGATACAAGCGCCCATGTTTAGTTTGAATAACTAGACTAAGATTATATTATCAAGGTTAATCACATGTTTGAAGTTCTTTGATTAGTTTAGAGATTGATATTAAATAACTGAATCATTCAACATAATCAGACCAAAAATGGCCTTGTGTAAACATGAGTTTAGAGGTGAGATAAACAAAATTCCGTAAATCGAGCAAGAATAAATAAATTTATAAAAAGAAGAAGAAAAAAAAAACTTCCTATCAACTGAGACAATAAATCAAGCAAAAAAGTTCCAATGACTTGTGAACAAGTTGAATCCAGAACTAAATCCTAATTCTCTTCCTACGCCAATGAAACAATTTATGTATGTAATCAACCAATGAACCATATAAATCAACATCAATGGCCTAGAAGATGTTTGAAAAACTAAATATTACCTTCCACCGCTACCAACACATCATCTTCCCCATCGAAAAACTCAACTACTCCCTTGTCACCATCCTTTGCTAACCCTTCAAAACCAGACTCCGAATGCCCTTCCTCCTCATTTCCATCTCCGACAGAGCAATGGTCCCCTTGCCCCATTGACTTCTTTGTATCCCAATGCACATGCGACTTCCTCCTCTTAGAACCCTTCCCCATAAATTCACCAAAATTCCCATCTGTATTCTCCATATTGCCATTGTATTGGATATCATAATCTGACTGTTTACTCACCGGGCAATCAAACGGCACCCACATATTGTCGCCATTGCCATCTCCTGATGATGCCAACTGAACAAACCCCGGGCTCCAATAATAACCTCTCTCCACCACCTCCGGCGGCGGCGGCGGCGCCATAATTTCGAATGCGTGCAGCACTCGCCGGCACCTCTCGTTCGTGCACCGTAAAGAACAATCCTTAAAAGCCCCATCGTATTCGTAGACGTAATAACAATAAGGGCATACCGTCCAAAACGTACAAGTGCCACTCCGCGGCGTACAACCACCGAAATTCCTCCGCAACTGGTCGTCGAACTTGGCCTTCTCGCTTGGGCTGGAAAGGACGCCCCAAGCTTTCATCACCAAACGATGCGCTTCAGAGCAAAGCGGGTACTCATTCACTTTAGGGTTTAAAGTGGATGCTAATTCGTCGAAATTGGACCGAATCCGAGCAACATTGGACTCAAACCTGGAAAGGTTGAGTATAGAATAGTAATCGGATAGATTCGAAGAAACATTGGGCGCAGAAAGCACGGATGCTATGGATAAAATTCGGGCGGGCTGAGGGCTGGTGGCGTCGGAATCCCTAGCACGGAGGGCGTATTTTCTGCACTCGGCGAAGTTGCCGCAGCTTAGGAAGTAGGCGGCGGCGGCGAGCAAGCGGCGCGTAGGACTACCACTAGCACTAGCACTAGCATTTTCTTGGTTGGATTGGTGATTTTGAAGGAGCTTCCTCTTCTTCTTCTTCTTCACCTCCTCCTCCTCCTCAAACTCCTCCTGCTGATTTGGGTTTGGGGTTGAGGAAAGCATTTTGCGTGGAACACGCCCGGGATGCGATTCTTTCTGCTGGCCAATGCCTACTTATTATAATTGAATTTTATATTTGTTAAGATTATCTTTTACAATCTCTTATCTTTATCAAAATCACTATTTGATAAATATATACATTCCAAAATCCAAATTACCTAAATTTTTATAAAACTTAATTTACGTCATAATATTTTTTTATATTTTTATTTATCTAATTATTGATTTGTTGATAAAGTTTTAAGTTTAAGTTTAAATTTTCATTTAATTAATATTTTAAAATTTGAAATTTATTTTTAATATATTTGAATAATTTATAGAATTATTTTTTATATAATTAAAATTGGTTAAAAAAAAAAAAAACAGATACATTAAAATTTGTTATAATAATATTGGGTTAGATTAGACTTTATTCCTATATAAATAATAATTCCAAATTATATAAAATTTATATAATAAAATATTACCTCCACACCTCAACAAGGTGACGTTTGCTTTTTGTACGTAAATTTTTGAATATTAGTATTATATTATATTATAGTAAAAAGACAAAAATATCCCTATTAGGATAGTGTAATATAAAATTAATGACATTTGTTTAATATGTTATAAGTTGAAAAGGTATTTATTATGTGAAATAGACAGTAAATTACTAAATTGGAAAATGGTAACCTTGTTTTGGGCAGACAAAAATGAAATATGGTAACCTTTCAATGGGACGGAGGGAGTATTATGATTTTTGTTTTCACAATTAAGGGATTAATCAAATAATCAACCAAATCGTTCACAACAAAGAAAAAAAAAAGGAAAAATATATGAATGATATCTCCGCCTAACACTGTTTATGTTCAAAAAAATGATGATTTTCGCTTCATTAAACCTCGAATGAAGGTAAAAATTTTAAAAATTATTTCTGATTTGTTGTTTATTCAATCCAACAATGAGATTTTCGATCGTATTTATAATTTGACCAAAAGTTTACAGAATGTGACAGATATTTTAGTTTTATTTTCTTGATTTTTATTTTTTTATTTATAATTTTTGTTGGTTCATTTACGTACATAAAAACTCTTATACTCAATTTCATTACAATGAATTTTTTATTTGGTACAGATAACTTATAGTTTTTTTTCTTTTATCTTAGAAGGGTTTTTTACTTAAAAATATAATCGTATCTTTTTCATATTTTATTTATGTATATAATTCATTATCGTTGCTCATATTCTTATAAAGAAATTGTCTTTTACCATCAATATATAGTTAAAATTATTATAGTAAAATTCTTTATTTATATTTTAAAATTCTAAATTTGATTATGGCAAAATTGAGAAAATTGCAAAAAAAATATCATTTAATATATATCAAATTATCACTTTTGTTCTTTTTTTTTTTAATTTTTCTGAACAAAACATATCTTATAAGTTTGCAAAGATCGTCATTTCTATCCTACAGCCGTGGGTGGCCGCGTGTAAAACAACCGTTGCGTTAACATGACGCATGGTTAGAGGATCTAAATGGCAATTTTTTCAAACATATAAGATATATTTTACATAAATAAATGACAAATGTTATAATTGAGTATAAATGAAGAATACCTTTTACAATTTTCTCCGCAAAAATTAATCATTCATTTTATATTGATTCTCTTTTTATTATTGCTATGTATTTTTTTATATTTTTAAATTTGTAAATTACGTTGAAATTTCAAATATTTTGATTTGAAAAAATTTCACAAGAAAATCATACAACAAAAATAACGATAAATTTAATATAAAAAGTTATTTAATTTTAAAATTTATATTTTTTATTATGAATGAATAAATTCAGAAAAAATAGAATAAATAGGAGAATCAGGAGAAGGGAAGGAAGAAAATAAAGAAAAGAAGAAAGAAAAGAAAAAAATTTATGGAGAACGACTATGTATGATTTTTTTTTCTTTTTTGTTCATTTATTTGATTAATTATGATTAATATTATGTATTATTTTTTTTACATATTAAATTATTTTTAATTTTTTACTAATGGATTCCCTTTCCTCTTAATATGAATGTGGTTTTTCAAATTTATTTGATTTCAAATATTATATTCTAATATTTTTTAATATTGTAGATTGTGTCTAAATTTTAAGTATTATGATTTGAAAAAATATAAGTTGACTTCATATAAAAATTATTGTAAGTTTTAATATATAAAAAGTAATTTTATTTTTATTGTGTACATATATATTATCACTAGAGTGTTGTTTTTATTTCTAGTAATATTTTATTATATTTTTTTTAATTGATTTGGTTTTGAATTATTATATTATAATATTTTTGAATTTTGTAAATTATACCCAAAATCTTTTAATTTGAAAAAATATTTGATAAACGATACAGAGAATTGTAATAAGTTTTAATATATAAAAATTTTATTTTTACTGTCTATATATTTTTAAATTATCTATTATTTTTTCTACTATTTTCTTTATAACGTGATAACTTACAGCTGTTATCCAAAAGTGTGCACTGAATAAACTTTCGGCCGAACTTAATACTCTTTTAATTTTGTATGTATTGATTATGCGTATTATATAGGGTTGTACGGTGATCAGGGCTAATCAATACTGTACTGATTATCCCTAATTCATCTTATTAAAATTTAATCCAACGACAATCATTAATATATAAAGTCACTTATGGCTGCCAACAATCTATCTTCTTCATTCCATGGCCATAAATTCTTCTGTCATATTTTGAATTCTTTTTTTTTTTTAAATCAAATTCAATTAACAAAATATAATTAAATTTTATTTTTAATTTTTCTTTTAAAACCAAAAATAAATTTAGTACACATAGTTTATATATAAAACAATACATACATACATCAAATATTAAAAGCACATATTTAAATATAAAACATAACTCATACCAAACATTAAAAGCACATATTTAAATATAAGACATCACACGTACGAAACATTAAAAGTATAAGAAAAAGTAAAGAAAAAAAAAACATAGATTCAAACCATCACAAGGCTAGTGTGACTTGCTTGTTGAGCCTAGTTTATAGGGTATTAGGTTCGGTCGAAAGTTTACCTAGTGCATACGTCCGGATAGCAGTTGCGAATTCTCACATCATAAAATATATATATAGAAGAAAAACATTATTTTTATTTACTAAAAAATTATAAACTATATAATTAAAAAGTAACATTTTATTCTGTATGTCACAAGAAAGTAATGATTATATTCTTAAAGTAATGCTCTCTCCGTTTCACGTGAAAATTTAGGATAAGTATAATTAGTAAATAATTAAAAATATATTAGTAAAAATAATTATTATATATTATAAATAATTATAAATAAATATTAAGATAATTAATTAGTTTAGTTAAAAAAATAAATAACTTAGAAAATTTAAAATGAGATTAAAGTGTATAATTATTTTTCAAAAAAAGAAAGTGACATGAGAGGCGGGAAAGACCAAAGCAGCAATGCGGATACGACTATTATTAATATTAAGTAATTTTATTAAACTAAATAACGAATGTAGTATTTTAAATAGCAATTATTAAATAACCAAATATCACATATATATATATATAACATAATAATAGTACACATTACACTTTTTATTTAAACATAAAATATACTTCGTTCAGGCTACGATGTTCCATTTACTGTAGACATTAGAATACATGAGGCTATAATTAGTAAATAATTAAAAATGCATTAGTGAAAATAATTATAGTATAATAAAAATAATTTTAGATTAAAATTAAGATAATTAATTAGTCTAATTAAAATTAAAAATTTATAAATTAAAAAAATTTAAAATGAGATTAAAGTGTATAATTCTTTTCAAAAAAAAATGACAGAATAAGTGGGACTAACATAAATGGAAATGTGGAGACAGTAAGTGGGACGGAAGGAGTATTAGGGCGTGTTTGGCAATTAGCTGATAGTTGTTAGCTGTTAGCTGATTCAATTAGCTGATAGCTGTTAGCTGATTCAATTAGCTGGTTTGACTAGCTGATTCGATTTACTGTTTGTATTAAAATATTTGGTAAAACAACTGTTTGATATTAGCTGTTTATACGTAAAATGACAATTGAGGACATTTCTATTTTATTTTTGTTTCTAATATATTCAATTATGTTCTTTTGAGTTTAAAATGTTTAAATTTTTTTGTTATTAGTTATTGAAAATTGTAAAAGTGTTAAAAAAAATATTTATTTTTATTACAGTTAGATTTAGAAAAATAATATATTTTTATTAAAATATATAAATAGTTTTTTCTATTGAAAATGATGTAAAATATAAAATAATAAAATTTTCATGTATATATTTATTATGTTAGTTATCGTTTAGTTCATTATATTTATAATTTTATTTAGTATAAAATTTATATAATGTAATTTTAATATAAAAATAAATTATTAATATTTATATTTTCTATTTTATATTGATTTTAATAAATTTATATATTTTACAATTAAAATAATTTTTATATAAAAATTAATTATTTTAAATTTATAAAAGTAAAACTATAATATAATAAAATATTCTAATATAATTAATAAATAATCAAAATGTATTTATTTGTGTAAAATGTATGATAAATTTTTAAGGGCATATAAGGAATAAAGGGGTTGTTTGGCAAATAGCTTTTTGAAGAGCTTTTAACTTATTGAATAACTTTTAGCTGTTTGACCAGTCAAAAAGCTAATTTAGGTGTTTGATAAATTAGCTTTTTGAAATAGCTTTTTGGACCCAAAAAGCTAATTTCTGAAAAGCTAATTTACCCAAGTTTTGAAATAACTTTTTCTGTAAATTTTTTTTTTATTCCTTATATGCCCTTAAAAATTTATTATAAATTTTACACAAATAAATTATTTTGACTATTTATTAATTATATTAGAATATTTTATTATATTATAGTTTTACCTTTATAAATTTAAAATAATTAATTTTTATATAAAAATTATTTTAATTGTAAAATATAAATTTATTAAAATCAATATAAAATAAAAAATTTAAATATTAATAATTTATTTTTTTTAT